GCACAGCACAGTCCATCCACACACGGGAATATCACTCATCAGCACAGCACAGTCCATCTACACACGGGAATATCACTCATCAGCACAGCACAGTCCATCCACGCACGGGAATATCACTTGGCACAGCACAGTCCATCCACGCACGGGAATATCACTTGGCACAGCACAGTCCATCCACGCACGGGAATATCACTCGACACAGCACAGTCCATCCACGCATGGGAATATCACTCATCAGCACAGCACAGTCCATCCACACACGGGAATATCATTCATCAGCACAGCACAGGGGCTCCTTCATATGTCACCTGAGAGAACCATGCCCACCAAGTTCCTGTCTGAATGAGGAGGGCCATGGCAGTACGTGGCTGAACAGGAGGGTCTGGAAGGGGTTGGGGCCCCTGAGATCTACTCTTTCCATTTCTCACACCCCCAGAGGGGCTGCTTAGCCTCTGGGAGATCACCACCTTCAGCCTCATTCTAAATGCTCCACAGAGCTGTGGGACATGGGATAGTCTGTAGGAAAATGCCATGTAACTGGGGTGGTGATTCCCTCATGTCCCAAAGGAGAACACAGGGCCTGGTCCCCAAGGAGGGCTCAGCGCACCAGGGATGCATCTGCAACACTGACTCCCCTTACCTTGGAAGTCCCTGAGCCTCATCGCACGGTACTCAATCACCTTCCTTTCTTCCTCAGCCTCGCTGAAGGGCCCTTCCTCCTCGTCGGGACAGCTGTGGGGGGAGGGGACAGGTGGGCAACAGTGCCTCCTGGGTGGGCTGGCCTCCAACATGGATGCTGATTCTGCAGAAACCAGCTGCAAAGACCATCTCTGGTTTTGTGAGGGATTGGGTTGTTAATGGTACAGAAAGAGGAGGGAAAATGCAGAGAGGTGGGGCATTTTACTGGCTTCAAAGTATCAGGACATAACCAGGCAGAAACATTATGCTACTGGCTGTGACCTGAAGGAGTCCAGAGGACAGCTTGGTCACTGGGACCTGCCAGGTATGGGGGGAGGACACAAGCTGCAGATGGCTGAAGCCACTAAGCACCAAAGAGCTCAGAGCAGGCTAAGGCAGCAGGAAGCCCCCTGGCATGAAGGGGGAAAGGGAAGGCCAGTCAGGCCTGGGCCCTGAGAGGTGCTTGGCCTAAGAAGAAAGAAGATGCCACAACCTGTTCCAACGGGTCTGGTCCCAGGCTGGGGTCGGCAGACAGTGCATCATGTCAGGTGGAGTGGCACACAAATGCAGAAAGGTCCAGGTTAGAGCTGCCTGGCTCTGTAGCCCCTGGCTGGAGACATCTGGGCCTTTCTAGCACCCAATAGGTTGAAGCCTGGATAGCGTCATCTGTTCTAAGCTGGGATGAGGGAGTTCAAGCTCACAGCCAATGGGCCAACCCTCAAAGCCAAGGCCGGAGTACTGGGCGAAGGGAACACACCTGGGGACCAGCTGGGCCCCTCTCACCTCTCTACAGCCCTTCGGATATGCGCCATCCATGTGTTCCTATCCTCTTTGGAGCTCGTGTAGATCTCGTACATCTCAGGCCCTTGCAGGGAGGCGCTGATTAGAAACATTGCTTTCTCCTCATTGGCCACCTCCCTCACAATGAGCTTTTGTAAAGAGATGACAGGAGGCTTTGAGTCCTGCAGGGATAGAATTGGGGGGTGGTGTCACTTTTTACCCTACTATGTCCACACAGTGGCAGGGATTCCAAACCTGGGACTAAGGGGAAGTCATGTGCCCCGTTTCTGTTCAAATGATTCAAAGCAGAAGTATTTTGCCATGTGGAGAAAGAAAAGATACCATTGCAAAGATATCTTTTATTTTATTTTTTTGAGACAGAGTCACATTATGTCACCCCGGGTAGAGTGCTGTGGCATCACAGCTTACAGCAACCTCAAACTCTTGGGTTTAACTGATTCTCTTGCCTCAGTCTCCCAAGTAGCTGGGACTAAAGATACCCCGCTACTTTTTTGTTGTAATTGTCATTGTTGTTTGGCAGACCCAGCCAGGTTTGAACCCACCAGCTCCAGTGCATGTGGCTGGAGCCCTAGCTGCTGAGCTACAGGCACCAAGCTGCAAAGATATCTTAATATCCTTTTAATGTGCCCATTTAAAATATTTTAAACTTTTTTTTTTTAAATAAGCATGTAATCCAATGGGACTGGGGTCTTTGTGAAAAAAGGCGAGGAGAGGAGAATACGCCATGCTCAGAGGGCTAGACAACCATGTGAGGACACAGGGAGAAGGCAGCCATTTGCATGCCAAGGAGAGAGGCCTCAGAAGGAGCCAGCCCTGCCGACACATCCATCTTGGACTTCCAGCCTCCAGAACTGAGGCAATATATTTCTGCTGTCTAAGGCACCCAGTATGGTATCTGTTATGGCAGCCCAAGCAGACTTATGCATTGGTACAAAGAACATACTGACTGACTCAGCCCAGATCACTGCAGGAAGGCACAGCCCTCAATATTTCTGATTTGTTTTCCCATTTCAGATCCTTGTGACCACCACCTTTGGTGTGACACTGTTTTTCCTTCCCCTACAGTAAATTATTCTTCTAAAGTAAAAATAAAGTGGAGCTCTCTTCATACAAGCCCTCTCCCTAAACTTCTCCTGAGATGCCTGGGCATGGTAGCTCATGTCTGTGATCTCAACACTCTGGGAGGTAAAGGTGGATCATTTGAACACAGGCGGTGGAGGTTGCTGTGAGCCTGGGTGACAGAGCAAGGCTGTGTCTCACAAAAGAAAAAAAAAAAACCCAAAACTAAACACCAGAGAAGAACTACCATATGATCCAGCAATTCTACTCCTTGTTATTTATCCAAAACAAAGAAAATCAAAGTATGAAAGAGATGCCTGCATGCCCCTGTCTCCTGCAGCACTATTCGCAAGAGCCAAAACACATCATCAGCCTAGGTGCCCATTACTAAATGAATGGATGAAGAGAATGTGGTGTACATACACAATAAAATTCTATCCAGACACATAAAAGAATGAAATCATCATTTGCAGCTACATGGATGGAACTGGAAGCCATTTTGTTACATGAAAGACAGCAGATGTACTGAGATGGAGAAGGTTCAAAATACACCGCAAGGGAACAAAAAACCATGTCACAGAGAAGTATGAACAGTATAAACTGTTCATTTCACAGAGAAATATGAACCATTGTTTTAAAATATACATATACAGGCTGGGTGCAGTGGCTCACACTTATAATCCTAGCACTCTAATAGGCAGAGTCAGGTGGATCACTGGAGCTCAGGAGTTGAAGACCAGCCCAAGCAAAGTGAGCCCTGGTCTCTACTAAAAATAGAAAAATTAGCCAGGTGTTGGGGTGGGTGCTTGTAGTCCCAGCTACTTGGGAGGCTGAGGCAGGAGGATCACTTGAGGTCAAGAGTGTGTGGTTGTTGTGAGCTGTGACACCATAGCACTCTAGCCAGGGCAACCGAGAATATGTCTCAAAAAAAAAAAAAAATTCACATATACAATTACCGGAGGGGCCAGCAAACTGTATCACCCATGGGCCAAATCCACCTGCTGCCCAACTTAGAAACAAAGCTTTCCTGGCATGCAGCCATGCCCACCCAAGTGTGTACTCTCTAAGGCGCTTCTGAGACACAGCGGCTGTGGAGGGTCATGACAGAGTCTGAATGGCGTGCAAAGTCGAAATGACTTATTTCCTGGCTTGTGCAATATACTTATGGCATAAAGATTGACTGAGCAGACACTCTGAGACAAAAATAACCAAGTTGGTGTCAGGTGGCAGGACACAAGATGACATTTATTTTCTCTTTTGTGCTTTTCTGAACAGATGCAAGCTGCTGAAACAAAGCTACGTGCTATGTGAGTGTGGGCTGTGTGTCTCCATGTTTTTGTGGGGTTTGAGACATGCTATTTTATGTCTTGCCCATGAGCGCAGCCACATTCTTTTGGGATACCCAGTGTCTTGTTTGGGTATAGGACATGGCAGGAGAAAAGCCCATAGGCAAGGTGACTGGACAACATCAGTGGGGTGTGCAGGTCCCCCCCAGCACAGAGGAACTGAGCTGGGCTCAGGCTGGACAACTGTTTGATCAAAAAGTTTGCCCAGTTTTCAGAGGCATAGGGTAGGAGGAATGGGGAAGGGGGCTGGGAAATGTCTTGAGAAGCGACTTCGAACCTCTGGAAAATTCTCCATCAGGAGATAAGGGCTACCTTCCTCTTCAGGCAGTATGGAAGCAAACAGGGTCCTTAAGCTGTTCTGCAGCTGGTGCCCACAGAGGGGAGGCCTGGCTCTCTCCCTGCAGAAGATTCTGTCAGTGTTGTTAGATGCTGAAGAACCTATGGGTTGCCACAGGCCAGCAGGGTAGGAAGCCAATCCCTGCAGAAGCAGGGCAAGGTAGATATGGCTATGAATGCCTGGCTGGGTTTGGGTCCCATGACATGGCTGCTTTGGGCCCAGAGTCTTTGGGGTCAGCTTGACCATGGTCCACTGAGCAGTGGCAGCCTGAGCTCAGACTCTCAGAGGTGGAGCCAGTGAGTTCCTGGGAAGAAGGGAAGGGTTTTCTTGGCCCAGATTCTGTGGTCTGTGAGTACCTGTGAGTGTTGCCAGAAGAATAACCAGGAAGACTTAGAGAGAAACTGAGGCTGGAACGGCTTTAAGAATGGGAATTGAAGCTCCCATCAGGCAGTGAGGCAGAGCCCTCATTCCTGGAAAACTCTGTTCCTGCCTGTCTGGAGCCTTCTGGGGAGCCTGGGACACACAGACTAACCCATAGGTGTGCTTCTGATGCACTCCTTCAGCTGCTACTGTAATGAGTGGCTTCAGAGCTTTCCCTGCAAAGTCCCAGCCAGAAGAGATAAGATACATACCACGGAAGCAAAGACATACTTCTGATCCTTTTCTTGTAGCAGCAAAAGTACATCGGTCAGCAGGACAGCAAGGACATCTGGGGAGACAGCACAAAGGGAACAGATGTCTTAAAGGCTGTGGGGTCTTGCTGAGGGCCCCAGAAAGGGGCGAGCATGCTGGTGCTTCTGCTTAGGCCTGGAAGTTTTCTGCCTCATCCCTTTCCACCAAGGGCTGGTCTCAGCCTCCTGGGACCCGAATTATTACAGAGTAAGGCTTCTGCACATAGGTGCGCATCCTGAATTGAATTTTGACAGGAACATGTGAATCACCTTTCAGGGAAACTGCTTCTGAGACCCCCCACCTAAATCAGATATACTTTCTTCATGTAATTTTCTTGTACTGTGGCCTGCTGGCTTTTTAAAAAGCATGTGTTGTACTTTTTTTTAATATTTTTTTTGCAGTTTTTGACTGGGGCTGGGTTTGAACCCACCACCTCCAGCATATGGCTCCGGTGCCCTACTCCTTTGAGCCACAGGTGCCACCCTATTTTTTAATGTGTTTAGAGATGGCGGCTGGGGTGTCTCACTATATTGCCCAGGCTGGTCTTGAATTCCTAGGCTCAAGCCACACTCCCACCTTGGCCTCTTGTGTAGCTCAGATTTGAGGTAGGCTCTGTTCCTGGCTCTATTTTTGTTTGTTTGTTTGTTTGTTTCTCTCTTTCTGCCCCACTGAGTGAAGCCCCAGGAGGACAGGAGCCAGCTGTCGCCCAGTCTGGTGTCTCCTTCCCACCTAGCATGGTGCCTGACAGGCAGAAGGCACTGAGCCCTCCCCATGAAGCACAGCTCTTCTGCTGAGATGACAGATAAGCATACACTGTCATTCCCCACCCGAAGGGCCCCTTGAGAGCCTTAAAGATGCTGATCCCAGTGGATAGGCTGGGATGTTCTAGAGGCTCTGAAGATGGAAGGAAACTCAGGGAGGAGTCCTGAATGCTCTCTCATCTGGAACTGTGATGTCGATTTTGAAAGTAGGGCCTGGAGCACACCTGGCAGAGTGAGTGGGATGCATGGGGGACACTGCTCCACAGTCCTGGTAGGCACTTCCAACCCACACGGGACCCCCCTGGCAGTTTGGCCCACAGCAGGCAGAATGTGACTATATCCAGATTGCAGCTGAGCGTGTCTAGAACCCAAGGGCCTCTGCCAGAACTGGGGCATCATGATGCCAATGCCTTGTCTTTCTGTTTCAGAAGGCAATGACTCATTTCCAGGGTGTCCTCCTGGTCTATAATGCACCATTTCTAAGACAAGAGGAAGAAGTGGTGATACGACCACCTCATTTTGCTACACTCCTGCTGCCTGCGCAAATCCTGACTTTGCATTTAACCTTCCTTCAGCCATGAGGAAGCCAGGCTGCAGTGGTTCTATGTCAGCTGGCATCCACCAATCCAAGATGGCACCACTGATCCAAGATGGTGCCCACCATCCCAAGACAGTGCCCACTCATTCAGGATGGCATTCACCACTCCGAGAGGGTGCTAAAGATGGAGTCACCCACCCAACATGGCACCACTGATCCAAGATGGTGCCCACCATTCCAAGATGATGCCATCACTCTTAAGACAGTGCCACTCATCCAAGACACTTGAACTTACCAGTCCAAGATGGCACCCACTGACCTAAGTTGGTACCACCACTTGCAAGATCATGCCTCCAACCCTAAACAGCACCCACCACTCCATGACAGTGCCCACTGATCCAGGGGCTGGGCTTTCTTTACCTTTCAAGCGCCCTGAAGTGGCCTTCCAGCAGAGTGTGCCCTCCAGGTGCAGTTGCCGCTGAAGCATGTCATCCTTGCGGAAGGTGAGCCCATTCTTGAGTTTGCTGGAGGATTTCAGGTCCATCTTTCCTGCAATCTCCCTGAGGCGTTGGCCCTTCTCACATTCACTGACCTTGGTGTCTACTTGTGAGATGATGTCTTTGATGAAGTTCAGGGCCTGGGTCAGGTCTTCGTAGTCCTCAGTGCCGGCTGCCACACACAGCAGAGTCAGCACCTTTCTTTGTCCAAGTCCATGGACACACAGAAGTGGGTGCACTACACACGAGCACTCAGGGTCTGTAAGGTATGCTCCCCAAAGCTGCTGCTCAGAGGACCTCTACAACCACCTCTTAGCTATGACCTCCTGAGATGTGTCAACACGTCTCCAAGATAAGTGAAACAGCCTCAGTAGAGCTACTGTCTGACATGGAGGCTAAGGTGAACTGAAATGACAATACTGCCCCGCCTGGCTCTACTGGCTGCTGCTTGGCAAACAAACTCCCCTGTGTACCTCAGCCCTTCATAAAAGACCCCCGCCACTGCCTGTCATGACTAAGAGCTGGCTCCTCCTACTCTAAGGATATGGCTTTTGTGGCAGAAACATGGGAGATGTGGGCAGCACTGCTTGGTCCCTGAGAACTCCCAGCAGGGCTCTGTGCCCTTCTCTGCCTGCCACAGTTCTAGGGACAGCCCTCTCTCAGCCTGGGCTCTGTGACACAGAGATCATCTCTAGGTTTGTCCGGATCACCAGGAATGACCTTGACAAGAGCACTGTCTCCATCATTCAGCCACACCACAGAGAAGGCCTGTGATGGCCCAGCCTGTGTGAGAGCTACGTGATATGGCAGTCAAATGAGACCTGGCTCCACTTTCTTGGTGCTAGCTGCCCCATCCTTCCCGCATCAGAGACTAGTGCCCAGCAGAGTGGCCTCCAAGGGGAATTAACCAATCTGCTGCCGGCACAGGGAGAGGGTGGACGAGCCCCCCGGCAGTGGAGAGCATGAGCCTACCTTCCGTGTTCTGAATGATGCGCTCCACCAGCACTGGGTACTTAGTTATGCGCTGAGTGACCAGAAGAATACACTCCTGCATGCCCAGCCGCCTCACAATGGAGGAGTTGCCAATTTTCTAGGAAATGGAAAATAAGACCACACCACATTAACATCTCAGCTCCTGCCAAGGATGGGGCTCCTTCCTTTTCTGGCTCACCAGGACTTTTCCTGTTCTGCTTTGGAGGGGAAACATACCTGATCAACTGCTATATACAGAAAGGCCAGAGAAGCAAAGGCAGCCTTACCTGTGTGTGAGCGAGGGTCCCTGCAAGCCTCCTAAGAAGGAAGGAGCCTGGTGGGACAGTGCAGGGACCTGCAATCCCAGAAACCTGGGAGGATCACGTGGGCCCAAGAAACCAGCCTGGGCAACAGAGGAAGACCCAACTTCATAAACAAATCATAAATAGAAATAAATACAGTTGATGTGAACAACTGTTAAAAAAAAAATGAAACCAGCAGCAGCCTGGGTGGTCATGGAGATTACCCATCTGTGGAGCTGTCTGTAGGTGGGCAGGGCATGTGCATACCAAGACCCTGACCCTGACTCACCACTGCAGGAGCCTCCAGAATGAGAAGGGGTGGGGGTGGGGTGAGAGTGGAGGTGGGGTGGGGTGGAGAGGGGCTATGCCTGCTAAACTGGCTCCCAGGAACCTTCTTTTTTTTTTTTTTTCAGTTTATTTTTTAGCCAGGGCCAGGTATATGGGGCCAGTGCCCTACTCCTTGAGCCACAGGCGCCGCCCTCCTGGGAGCCTTCTGAGGCCGAGAACCAGAGTGGCAGCTACTTGAAGTCATTTCCCGGTGGGGGCCGGGAGCATTCCACACATTCTCTGTGTTTGCCCCTGCTGCTCCTGGATCCATTTTAGGTATGCCAGCCGTTAGAAAGAGCCACTTTCTAAGAGGCCCAGAGAGTCACTGGGGGGTGTGAGTCTGTGGACCAAGGTCTCAATGGAGTACTTCTCCCCCGCTCCCCAGTCACTTCTAGGTGTTTCTGGCTCAGGCCATTAGGTGGGCCTTTCTAAGTCCACTACTTGTTAGTGGATAAACTGCAGCCCCAAATGATTCTTTCCCTTTCATGTCTACCTACCATAACAGTGACAGAATAGAATTTAAGCGCACATCATTCCTAACTTGAGACCATCAGTTGTTGAATGTCACTTTAGAACAAAGCCCTAAATAGGTCACAGGCAATGGAGCTGTTCTGGAATCAGGTGCACTCTGGCCTCCAAAGAGGTGAATGCTGACTGGCTGGGCAGCCTTAACCCCCATGTTGTTTCCAGCAGGTGGGAGGCAGAGTCTTGCTTGACTCAGCTCTCCAGCTGGGCTTTGGGCACCTGCCAACTCTCATGATCATTCTGAAGGTCTGGGAGGTGAGAAGGGGAGAAAACGGGGCCAGGGAGGGGACAAAAGTTTGGAGTAACACTCCTGATGACAGCTAGAACATCCACAGGCAGGATGGAGTGGCTCTGGCGGGCTGGATTGCAGGGCATGGCAGCCCCTTCAAATGATCTGTGTGTCACAGTTTGAGATGTGGTGTTTGGCAGGTCCCGCACTGGGGGCCTATAGGGGGACCTCAGGGGCCACACAGTGTGATGGAGAACACAGAAAGATTTGGTTTGATTTGTATGTAGTTATGTATTTATGTAGTTAGAGATAGGATCCTGCTCTGTTTCCCAGGCTAGAGTGCAGTGGTGTCATCATAGCTCACTGCAGCCTCAAACTCCTGGGCTCAAGTGATCCTCCTGCCTCAGCCTCCCGAGCTTAGCTGGGACTATGGGCATGTGCCACCATGCCTGGCCAGTTTTTAAAATTTTTTGTAGAGATGAGGTCTCATTATGTTGCTTAGGCTGGTCTCCAACTCTTGGCCTCAGGTGATCCTCCTGACTCAGCCTCCTAAGGTGCTAGGATTCAACACGTAAGCCTCTATACCCGCCCTTGTTTGTTTTACACCTTGGATTCCATGTAAGATTTCACTGACTTGAGGCTGAGGTGGGTGGATTGCCTGAGCTCACAGGTTTGAGACCAGCCTGACCCATAGCGAGACCTCATCTCTAAAAATAGCCTGGCGTTTGTGGGCACCTGTAGTCCCAGCTATTTGGGAGGCTGACTGCTGTGAGCTATGATGTCACAGTGCTCTACTGAGGGTGACAAAGTAAGACACTGTCTCAAAAAAAACAAAACAAAACAAAAAAACATTTCACTTATGTGTTCTGAATGCGGTTGTGGTTAAAAAACAAAACAAAATTTTGAAAAGTCACTGCTTTTTAACAGGTGATTTGGAAACAATCTCCAAATCCCAAGACTCTACATAGTTCTGTGGAAAGAATCTATGGCAAAGATGGTAAGTTTTTAATTAAAAAAATGTTTTTTTACCTTGATCAAATTTTGAAATTTCTTGCTTTGCAACAGCAACTTGTACTGACTGACAGCCTCCTTGTGGCTGCTGCAAAACACCCCATATTTTTCCTTCATTCTTTCTCCATTTTCACCTGAAAACTAATAGGAAAGAGAACAGAAATGTCACAATAATAACCATGAACACCACCAAGGAATATTTTTACCTAACTTGTCTGGCTTTGTCAAAGTGAGTATTGAATTTACTTGCAGTGTTCACTTTCTAATATGTCCTCAGAAAGGGAAATGCTTTAGAATTCTGTAATTGCAGAAGTGCAATGAAGGTTGTATGAGAAAATCTGCTGATGAAGGGCTTTACCATGTCACAGGTGCCGTATAGCTCCTGAGATCCAGAAAAGACAACATTAAGCTAAAGAATGTTAGAAATGTGAAAAAGCAAAGGGGGAATTCTCCTAATTAATTCTAATTAGTTGACACAGGATGCTTGGAACCAGCAGTCAGGTCAGATGAGAGGAACAGCTCCCCTGTGTCAAACTTGGCCTGGAACAAACATCTACAGTCAGTGTTGCTCCCTGGACAGCTCTGGAACACTCCCAGTAGTCAAAAACGTAAGAGCCAGAGGCTCCGCGTCTGTGGCTTGGCGTCTGTGGCTCAAGTGGCTAAGGCACCAGCCACATACACCTGAGCTGGCGGGTTCAAATCCAGCCCGGGCCCGCCAAACAACAATGATGGCTGCAACCAAAAAATAGCTGGGCATTGGGGCGGGCGCCTGTAGTCCCAGCTACTTGGGAGGCGGAGGCAGGAGACTCGCTTGAGCCCAAGAGTTGGGAGGTTACTGTGAGCTGTGATGCCACAGCACTCTACCCAGGGCAATAGCTTGAGGCTCTGTCTCAAAAAAAAAACCCCAAAAACATAAGAGCCAGAACCAAAAAGTCAAAACCAGCCCAGCTGATGAGAGCACAGAGAATAACGCCAGTGTTCAGATAGGGAGGTTTGCTGTTTAGGCCCCTGTGTTTCCAGAACATGAACCTCAGGTATAAGGGGCCAGACCTGTGTGTCTTCCAGGGAAGTGGGCACTCAACAAACAGGAACAGAGGTGGGCAGGGGCCCTGCAGACTGTCTGGATGGACATGGGCACACCCACCTGCTGTACCAAGAGGTCTCCAATTTTCTGGATGACGTAATTCCGGTCACTGCCTTCCTCCAGGGACTGGTGGCGGCGCTCCTTGAGCAGAGAGAGAAAGCGACTGTGCATGTCCAGCAGGTCGTCCGCACAGACGCAGAGGCGGCTAAGGGCATCACAGCTGCCCGGCAGCTCCTCCTGCAGGGCCCTGGAGTACACCTTCAGCATGATCTTGAGCGTGCGCACGTGGTGCACCTCTGTCTGTGTCAGCTCTGTAGGGACACAGTTGGTGGGATTTATCTGCGCCAGCTCTGAGGCCCTGCTGGGCACTCATGGGTGCTGCTTGTCCTTCATGTGCTCCGTCAAGTCCTTGTTGTCAGGGCCTTTCTTACTGCCCAGAGTGTCCAGGCTTCCCCATCCCCCCATAGCCCAGTGCTGCAGGGGTCCCAGCCTAAGGGAACAGGGGAAGGAGAGGACCCTGGGACCTCAACATCACAGGAGGGTTTCCTGCCTGAAATTGACTGAAGATGTTTCAAGGCTGTTTTAAGCAAGATTGTTCTGAGGAATATCACTCTTAGGGATGCAAAACTCACACGTTTGTGTGTGTCTCTGGCTAGACAGCACTGAACTGGACTGTGTGTTCCCCAAATTTATATATTGAAATCCTAACCCCTAAGGTGATGGCATTAGAAGGTAGGGCCTGTGGAAGGTGACCAGGCCTTGAACGTAGAGCCTTTATGATGGGATCAGTGCCCTTATGAAAGGACCTCAGTTAGAAGGTGTCATCTATAAACCAGGAAAAGTTGCTATTTCTGGACACGGGATCTGCCAACACCCTGATCTTGGACTTCCCAGCCTCCAGAATGTGAGCAGTAAATCTGTATTGTTTATAAGACACCTGGTATTCTGTGAGAGCAGCCCAAGTAGACTAAGACCTGGGTATTTGGCTAGACTCATCTGCAGTATGTGTTCTAACAGAGTCCTCCCTGAGCACCTCCTGCCTGGGTGGGGAGGGGCAGGACTACATGGGGGGAGGCAGGTGCAAAGGGGCAAGTGGTCTCAGGGGAGGCTGGCGATGGAACCTACATTCCCAGGTGGAATTTAAAAAAAAAGTAAACAAAGAAAGAAAATAAGTAAGTGGAGAGCTGGCAGGGGGGCACAGGGCTTGGGACTTCTTACCATAAAGGACATCCTGTCTTTTCACCACCTCCCTCTTTTGTTTCTTGGCGTAGGCCAAGTCCACAGCAAGGCTCCAGGACTCAGCCTCGAACTCGTGGCTGTCAGATTCAATCTCACTCCTCAGTGAGGCAGCATAGGGATCTGAAGGAAGAAGGAAGTGCTGCTGCTGGCCACCACCCATGGACATGCAGACGTCGAACCCCAGCATGGATGGGACCATGTGGCAGGGGTGAGAGAATTAGATGACCATACCTTCTACAAAAATGGACTCAGTGTTAGAAGATGTGAGTGAAAGAGAGTCATCAGCTGCCTGCTTAAACTTTAAAAACACAGAATCGGCTTCATCCATCTCTCCTGAGATTGGTCTAAATGAAGATAATAAAGACAATCATTTCAGAAAATTGAATAAAAAACACCTGGTCCCAGTCTACACAGGCAAATCAGTGACTCCACCTGATTAAAGAGTGAGACCTTTCTAGATTTCAATGTAAGCATTAACTTTGTCACAGATCATTTTTAAAGACTGGGAGACTACCTGTCAATGTCACATCAGGACTTTTTCTATCATGACTGCTGTTAATGTTCGGGAATATTCTAAAGGGGTATTAGATCAGAGGCTCCCTTTACTGACCGCCAGAGCCCACTGGAGCCTCTGGGATTCTCTCTACCAGAAGTTAGGTAGATGCAGCCTCACAGTCAAGGGTGGGAGGACAGTCCCTTCTCAGAGGAAAAACACAATCCCTTCCTGACCCACTAACTCCTATAAGGATCATCACAGGCACAGGAGGACTCAGGGTTGCCTTCCACCTGCATGCTGCTGGACGCAATATTGAGGGAACTGGCTAAGGCAGAGAGAGTGCAACACAAGCCCCACAGCACCCTCAGTGGGGCTTCCAGCATCACCCTGCATACAGTAAGGAGTCCTGTCCCAGGGACGAGTTCCAGGATCTTTCCAGAGTACTAAGCAAACCAGCTCTACCAGGGGCCAGATAGACCTCAGGACATCATTTTGAAAAAAGACATGAATCTTGGGAATGAGTGTTAATGGGCGTCTCATCGCTTGGCTGGGGGCTGCCATGCTGACTCACACAGACCTAAGTAAGGGGTCTCTTTTAGAGGGGCTGTCAATAGCTTCCCCTGGGATGCCACCCACCCGATAGCAGGGAGGGGACCCGGCCTTACCCGAGTCTCATCCCAGTTCCAGCCGGGCTCAGTGCTGGCTGGGAACCCCCTTTCTGAGAGACCGTCATGCCGACATTCCTGGAGAAGGCTGGGCTGCCATCGGACAGGAGGGTGCTCCGGGGATGCTCCTTGAGCGAGGCTGCAACAGAGGCAAACACGGAGTTGGTGCTGAGAAAGTGGGCTGGGTAGCGAAGGCCGCCGGAGTGCAAGCCCCGCTCTGACTGCGGCCGCAGCACGGACAGGATCTTGGAGGTCAACAGCTCATTATCTAAGAAGACGTTCTCGCTCCATTTCCTGGGGAAAGAGCTGTAAAAAGACAGCTCTGGATGGCCTGGGAGAGAGCCGTGTCTGTCGCCGCCTTTGGAATGTGCGTTCCCCATGTTCACACTCTGGGCTCTGGGACCGCTGCTGTGCCAGGCTGGGCTGCACGCCCTTTTTTAATGCCTCGGTGGGATCCTTCTAGAAAATAAAGCTGCGTCTTCCCTTACTGTATTGGCTGAAGCAGCAGGTCTGGAGGGCAGGAAATTGGTCCCCACTGTGACCGTTTAGTGTTGGAAACTGCACAGGCTTTCTCTTTTGCTAAAACAAAACCAAAAAACCCCTCTAGGCACCTTCTGTCTTTGCAGGAGGTAAAAAATGGCAAGAAAGCAGATTGTGTCCACTGTAAATAATCTAAGGTCATGAAACTGGGAGCTCTGAGCTTGGTGTGGCTCATGCCAGCACCATGTATAGGGTGAAAATTAACCTGAGGCTGGATGTTACAACGACTTTAAGAACCAGAGGCAAAACGTTCGCTGTTTCTGGCCGTCAGCACTCAGATAGATTCTTACCATCAAAGAGGACTTGGGGCTCCAACTCCACTTCACAGGGTGATCACAAACTAGCTCTACACGCCACAGGGGGCCCAGCATTGTTTATACCCATATGTTCATTAACTTAAGGGCTCAGATCAGAGGGTGCACCTTCGCCTACTGATGGGAAGATGCAGTTCTTAATGAAAGCTCAGCCGTTTCCTTCCCCTTCTGTTTGACAAGGCAACCTCTGAAGCTGAGCCTCACTGAGATGGGCTGCTTGGCTAGTTTATTCTCGCATTTTATAAGATTGCATCTTAAAACTCTGCCCTGGGCAAGAACAAAAGGCACCAGTGAAAAAAGACCTGGCCTCCCAACTTGGCTCTTGGGTCTCTCAGGTGCCCATTGTACCAGCTTCTTGTTAAAAAAGGGAAGAATCTGGAACTTTGGTTCCTGGAAGACAATGTTCTCAAAGCTGCTTTACTGGATTCAGCGTTCTCTGATT